TTTATACCTTTCAATGGAACCATCTACGAGAAGTTAGTTTTGAAGACCCACTTACAACCGATGGGTTTCTTTCCTGGATGAAGAGATGTAAGAAGCCAAGTATTATTAGATTCAAGTGCCCGAATCTCAGACTGCATAGCATCACGCCAGTGGGAATGTTTAACTTCTTGGGAATATCGAGTAGGGTCAGAAGAATGTGATAATACAGATAAATAAGCAAATTGTTTCGCAAAGAAATTACAATATGAGACAAATTATGAAATGGGATGAGACGTACCTGAAGATGTGACTGGAGTGGGGCAAGTCGTAACGGATGAGGTGGATGGTAAGGTAGGACATACGTAATCAGCAAGGTAACCAGGACAATGTATAGTACGATGAGGACGAGTGGAAAGGGGCATAAGAAGGGGTTCTGGAAGAGAAGAATAAGTGGTTGGAGGAATAGAAATGTCAGAAACGGGAATGGAAAGGTCAAGAATGGGAAGAGGTAAGACAAAGGGTGAGGTAGCAGGTTGAGGTAAAAGTTGGAAATGAAAAATATGTTCGAGAAAGGTGACGTCTTTAGAGATGATAACCTGTTTTTGGTCTAAGTCATAAACCCGATATGCACGATGAGTGGATGGGTAACCTAAAAAAACACACGAATGAGCACGAGGTTGAAACTTATCACGATGAACGAAAATAGTGTGAGTATAGCAAAGATAACCAAATACGCATAAATGATCATATCGAGGCGATTTTCCGTAAAGATGCTCAAAAGGAGAAATATTGTTTAGGGAAGGGGACATGGTACGGTTGATTAGATAAGTAGCAGTAAGTACACATTCTTCCCAAAAGGTAAGGGGGAGATGAGCCTGAAAACATAAGCATCGAGCCACATTTAAAATAAGTCGATGTTTTCGTTCAAGAACACCATTTTGTTGAGGTGTCTCCATGCAAGTGTGTTCGTGAGGAGTGCCTTGTTCGGAAAAAAGTCCGTGTGGAGCGAGCAAGAAATTCTTGACGCATGTGACGAATTTTGGATTGAATTGAGTGTGAATCATGGAAAAAAAAATTGTGCAGACAAAATAATGTTTCAGATTTAAAACGCATTGAATACAGCCATGTGAATCGGGTGTATTCATCAACTATGGTTAAGAAATAATGTGCACCCGAGAGAGAAGCAGTATGATAACCACCCCATATATCACAAAAAATACGTTCAAAAGACATCAAACCGTTGTTTCCAACTAATTGAAAAAGTAATTGGGTGTGTTTTCCACGATTACATGCATCGCAATGTTCAACAATTTTAGGACGAGGAATAAAATGTGGAATATGATGTAAAGAGGGGTAACCCAATCGTTGATGCCATGTATCAAAAGAAATGCGAGTGGATAGTTGGAGCGCCGTTGCTGAAATCGGCTTGAAATAATACAGTCCGTTACGCTCATCACCCATGTCAATCAACATCTTCGTGATGAGGTCTTGAAAAATGCAAAAAGTGGGGAAAAAAAAAGAAATGAAGCAATTGAGTGATTTTGCTAGTTGACTGACCTATAATAAATTAAATTTAAAATCAGGAATTGACAAAACATTAGAAAGTGAGAGACGATGTGATAAAGTAATATCACCCGTACTGGAAACAAGAGCCTGTGAACCCGTGGGAAGACAAACAAAAGACGGGTTAGTGCAATTATAAGAATTAGGGAGGGGTAAATTGGTAATATGGTGTGTGGCACCACTATCCATGGTTCTCAATCAAAAGGAGAAGAAGATGCTGAACCTGCGAAGGAAAGGCTTGGATTCTTGAGGAGTTCCATCAATTGGATATATTGATCGGTGGCGAGTGCAGGGATTCCACTCACGATTGAAGGTGCATTGGTAGCTGACACTTGATGAGCAGTCGGCGAGGAAGAAACTGAGGCACTGCGTTTATTCTTGGACGGCCAGCACTCCGGGTATCCAATAATTTCAAAAAATTATTTCTTTGGTAGCCCGGTTTACCACAAGCTTCACATAGATGAGTCCCAGCAAGCCACACACAACGGGGGCGAGATGAAGTGTTGGGCAGTGTGGAGCGAGCGGTTAGGGCTGAAGCATCTGATTGAGATGGAATTAGTTGAACCAGACGTTGCATTTCTTCTTGATGGAGGATGGAATAGCAGCGTCCAATGGAGGGAAGTGGGTCTGTAGCCAAAATTTGGGAACAAAGCTGTTGAAAACTTTCGTTTAGGCCCATGAGTAATTGGTAAACCCGATCAGTATCTTGAAGTTTAGCAAGAAATTTTGAAGCGCCGCATATACATGGATTTGTGGGTTGTGAGGATGCTAATTCATTCCACAATTCCTTTAATTTTCCATAGTACGCTATGATTGATTGTTGTTCTTGGTGAAAATTGGCTAAATCTCGTTTCAATTGGAAGATTTTGGTACGGTTGCTTTGTTGAAAACGTGTTTCTAGCTCCACCCACAAGTCATTCAGTGTGGCACAGTAGAAGAGGCTGCTTGTAAGCGACCAATCAATTGATTGTAGAAGCCATGACATTATCATGTCACAGCAACGGTCCCAAAGTAGTGCTGCAGCGGTGTCATTGGTAGGGCGTTTGATGGTGCCGAGAACAAAGCCTAATTTATTCTTGGCATTCAATGCACGAGTGATTGCTCAACGCCATGCCGAATAGTTGTCGCCATTAAGAGGTGTATCAACGAGAATTTGGTTAGGTTGATCGGATGAGTGCAGGAAGTATGGGGATGAAGCATATGTAAGGAATTTGTTTGCATCCAAGGCAAGAACAGGAGCAGGATCAGCCATGGTAGGAACCAAGGTATGTAAAACAAAACCTAATGCTCTAATACCATGTTAAGTTTCGTATGGAATTAAGTAATTCTCATTAATTTAATATACAATACAATGGTGTATTAATACATGTGAAAT